AGGATGGGATAAATGCAGAGCACTAATTCCTAGTATGGGTAACCATACTTGGCCACATGTCACGTCACTTTTTTCACACCTTTTTTTATTAGGAGACGCACAACAGTTCTTCTGTGGCTTTATAGGTAATATTTTCACTTACACAATTTAGCAAAATCAGACAATATTGTGTCTAATATATACCACAATATTAACTTCTTCTTATTGAATTGTGAATAAATATCACATTTGCAACTGGTCAGTGTTCAAAAATGCAGGGAAATCACTTCATGTAGCCCTACAAGAGTGATTACTGATAAACTGTCTGAAAAAAAAGAGTCACGTTTTAGAGAAGAAAAAAATCACCCACTGACTTTCAAAGCTGCTACATAGTAACGACTTTCGACTTCGAGGACCATGATAGAAATGTAGTGGAGTGAAAAGTACAATATTTGTCTTTCAAATGTAGTGAAGTTAAAGTCATAAGTTCCCAGAAAAAAATAATACTCAAGTAAAGTACAGATACTCAAAGTGTACTTAAGTACAATACTCAAGTAAATGTACTTAGTTACTGTCCGCCTCTGGTTATCCCAAACACAACTTTCAATCTTACAACGAAAAATCATTATTACATGAATAAAACGTTGATAATCTAGAGTGAAATAAATTATTTAGTGACATTATGTGAAAATTATTCAGCTCATATTTTCAGTCATTTTGAATGTGTCGTTCATAGTTGTGGCGTTATTTCCACTACAGCAACCAATGTTGCCATTTATTCTCTCTCAAAAATATATTTATTTCCACCACAAAATTCTACTACACACAAAACATAAGTTGACGTGATGATATTGACATTGTTTTGGAAATGTTTGGTGACCAGAAATGATAGATTTCTGTCTACTGTTGGACAGTTTCATGTAAATTCATATAAATATCTTATTTTCAGCTGTTTTACGTGATTGGTTTGTGATTTTTGTGCAAGTCCTCAATATGACAGAATGTGTCAAAAACTGCTGCAGGACATTTACGTCCAAGAAAAATGAACCAGAGATTCAGAGTAAGTCGCTCTCTCCCCTATACCTCCTCATGATTGTTGTTTTCGTTTGCATACACACAATATACTGTATGTATATGTTATGAAAGGAGTTATGAAAGGTGTATTTGTATACATTTAAATATTTTAAAGTGATTAAGGTTCGACCTCCTGGTAAATTAACTGCTGAGTCTAATGTGAAGAAGAATGTTGGAGTATCAGAGGATTATCTGCTGTCTAAACTGCCTCCGGACAGCCGGGAGGTTCCATTCATCATCCCAACCTTCAAACCCTCCTACATCCAGCCGAGAGGATCACAGTACTCTGGCTACAACATTGGGCAACAGAGTAAGCAGTATGACTTAGTTATTTATTTAGTTCATTTAATTTATTTTATTAAAATATTTTTTTAAGTACATATTTAAGTAGAAATTTGAATGAGTTTAGGTGCCACAAGGACCACTTTTGCAGAAAGGAAGGCAGAGCTCGCAGGAGCCGGTCAAATGATGTATGACCCTGATTTGACCTTAAACAGCAGTCATATGATCAGCTACGTGTCACCAGGCTCAGTGAGACGCTCCACTCTGAAAAACAGACCCAACAACAGTCCTGGCACAGGTGAGATACTTTAAGATCTGCCTAAAACTCCAAGCCTGTTTATTACCTGTGTGTGTTGTTTAAAGAGTGCAATTTCACTTCCTCAAAGCATCACACAGCAGCACGTAACTTCTCAGCATGTAACCTCAAATATTTACGTTCCTACCCACCTGTGCGTAATCCTTCTGTTTTATTCCCGCTCCTAAATCCCCAATTGTTCATGGCAGATTTGCACTGAATGTCCCAGATCATATTGTTGAGAGGCCATATTCAGATCATTCTAATGCTTTACTGTGGCTGGACGCACATTTGTAAATATCAAACTGAGGAAGACATTTTAAATGGAATCACTTTTGTTACATAATGTGATGTACTGAATCAACTGCAGAAGTGCAAATATTTAAGACTCTTTCTAAGAGGAAAATGAATTAAATGATTTGTGTCTGTTTGTTTAACAGGTTTGGAACACAGTGGCAAACAGAGACTCAGTCTCTCCATGTATGATTTGTCAAACCCTCAGAGCCACATAGAGGTGAGTTCACACACACACACACACACACACACACTTAACAACCCAATCCATAAAACTGTATCGTAATTAAAACTACATCGTTCACATGCTGCTGAGATCCCATACACCTGTTCACACGTGAGCTATTATTATATGATGTATATAAAGAAATGTAATTTATTTCTATGATGGTAAAGCTGAATTTTCAGCAGTCATTACTCCAGTCTTCAGTGTCACATGATCCTTCAGAAATCATTCTCATATGCTGATTTGCTGCTCAAGAGACTTTTCTTATTATTATCAATGCTGAAAAAGATTGTGTTGCTTAATATATCTATGTAAACATGATAAATTTTTTTAGGATTCTTTGATTAATGGAAAGTTCAAAATTTTCATTAATTTCTTTGTATTAATTTCTTTAAAAAGTCCTAACAATTGGCAAACTTTTAAAGGGTTGTGTATATTATAGAGGGATATAATAATTAGTAAACATTATTATGACTATGATTTATATAAACACTATACTAGTTAGTCTGGATATCAACTTTGAACTTTAAGGCAAGATATATTAACTACTAAGTTTAATTCAAAACTGTTTTGTTGCATTTGTTACTGGAATAATTAGCTCAATATTTATCTTCGTTAATAACTTAATAATTAATAACTTTAGTAATCATACTACTTCCATGCATTGTTAGTATGCCAGAAGTCATTATTACCATTGGGATCTCTATTTCTATTTCTTTTTTTTTAAGTTAAAAAGTATTTGTGGTCTTTTATCAATCAGACCAGATTAAATTCCTGATTGAAGTGTGGTGTATACATAATACATTGCTATTTAATGATTAGCAGTGCTGTTGTTCAGTAACATTTATTCCTCTCTTGTTCCTCCAAGCGTTATGATTCTGTATCCAGTGTCCAGAGCAGCACATCATCCATTCAGGATTCCTTTGGGAGCAGCCGTAGTCTAGGTAACCATTCACGACGGAACACTGAAGTTGTAACCGTAGACAAGCGCATTCCAAAAGAACCCTCAAAACTCCCTTCCAATCGAACTCTCTGGAAAGGGTTCCGCTCCACTATCACCTGGAATTTCCACTACAGTTTCATTTGTTTGGTTTTCCTTTAGTTTTTTTCATGGTCTTTTTGGACTCTTTATTTCCCAACAATCTTACCCCCTCTCTCCTCACCGTGCACACACATAAACACAGACTGTCAAACAAACTCACACACACACACACACACACACACACAGGACAGACTCAGATGACTGCAGATTGTGAAATCGTAAAGGGCAGACACAGTAATTACTTCCAAATGTTTTCCCTGAGGTCCAGTACACAAGTCCTCAGATAACTTTCAGAATGTAGGTCTGTGGATCTTTAAACACATAACACAAATAATTAACTCAAAATATATTGCATTTCTGTTTACCATTCTGCATTTTTCTAATTTAATTGTAAGTGTTTTTAATGAACTCTGAGCAAAAAGTTGGATTTTAAATTTTCTTGATTAACAACAGGACTTATGCTGAATATTAAACAGAATATTATATATAAAACATTTTTATGTGTTTGCGTGGATGTGTGTGTGTGTGTGTGTGTGTGCATAGAGTCCATCACGCTGTCTGGTGATGAGCGGGATTTTGAGCCGGGAAAAGTGTGTGTGCACGTGAAGTATGAAGAGGCAGTGGAGCAGGTGTGGATCACCTTAGTGAAGGTATGATTTCATCCAGGAGAGGCTTTGCTAGTCCACAACAGGCCATTGTGTCCCATCTAGAGTCCAGCTGAATGGAGCCTCTGTGTTGATCTGAGAGACCTTTAACAAGTGATCACATTTCCAACCAGCTATTTTTAATCTCTCTTTTTCAGATAATTGAAAAATATCTCAATGTGTATATCTGCCTGTCTTTGCCTCTTTATTTTACACATAATATATAGCATACATAATATATTCATGTTAATGTTACATATTAATGTTAATTTATTTACGTTATTTACTATATGTTTGGAAGTGACCAAATAGGGTTGTATCTTAGAGTGTGAGTTGTTTATAATATTAACACACTGTTTGATCTCATATTTCATCATATTTATTTTGTTTTATTTCTGTCAATTATTTTCTAATACTAACAAGGCCCTGCCTCCTTTTCCTCCTCTGAGAAATACAGTGGTTTTAGTGGTTGTAAAAGCTCATAAACTGTACATGTTGCTTTCGTCTTTTCTCACTGTTTCTCATTTATTCTCATTTTGGTACTCACTCTCTTTTAGTGTATGGATTTGAGTGTGTATAGTGATGGGGTGGAGGTGCAGAAGATTGGGGTCAAAGGAGTCATCACCATGACCAAGCCAGTGCGATTTAAGAGCACCATCAAGGAAGCATCAGCAGTGAGTGAAATCAGCCGTCATAAAACATACTACAGCCAAGATTCAATTCAAGCTTCAGCATTGGTGATATCAAGGGGTTAAAATGATTAGCATTATCCCCTGCTGGTAGATGCCAGAATTATACCATCTGCTTCTAAAAGGTGCCTTTCTGCTTTGGCAGCCATTCAAAACAACCATGTACTCTAATGAAATAAAATATTTTGCAAGCAACATACACTAGATTTTTGTTTTAAAGAAATTATTTTATTCAGAAAGGATGCTGATAAATTTATAAAAGGTGGCAGTAAAGAAATTTGTTACAAGATTTGTTTCAAATAAATGTTTTGAAATTTTTGATCATCATAGAATCCTGACAAAATGTATCATAGTTTGCATTGTTTTCAACATTTAAACATAATAATAAGAAATGTTAATGTACCCAAATCAGTAAATTAGAATGATTTATAAATGATCAAGTGACACTGAATAAAAAATAAATAAAA